CTTGACTTATCCGGTTTAAAGACGTATCATTCATTCCGTGCATGTCCAAGTGTTCCAGATTTACAGAATTCGGTTGTACATACAATTCGTTATTATGATAGACTAAATAATGTAGCTTTTGTTGGAATATTCGGAAAAATATACCAATAATTATCATGTTAAGTCTAATGGTGTCCCTGGACTCTAAATGGACATTCCCTATTGGTCAGTATTTATTTCACTTGTTAAATATTGTACAAATGTTGTTTTCTATTTTATGGTACGATGTGGTCTGTTTGGTTGGTATATAAGCAGAGTATGTCTGAAATATAATGATTCATATCTCAGAGGCTGAGACTTGCGTTCTGAACTCAACTGGCTGGGCTAGACAGGGAAGCAGGGCAAATCAGAGCTCTAGGCCATTCGTGCGTGTTTTACGTGTCATTGATCCGATCGTTAAATACGCTGCGCATCTAATCAGCAGTCCACAAGTTACAACAGCTTTGATTGTTGTATCTAATCTATATCACATAGATTATTTTGAATTTAGATTATTGAAAAAGTATAATTTATGTATACCCCAATATTTTTTGTAGAAAACATTGAATACTCTTCTACCTTTTCATAAATTAATCCATTCTTCTAAGTGCATTTGTTGGACAACTCCTAGCTCAGCTTAAAAAAAAAACAAGTTTACTAAAATTTTCAGAAGACAAATGAATATGCCGATCTTTTTGAAAGAATCCGTGATTGAGAATATTTTTAATTAAACCACAGATATAATGATGGAAATTCGGTGTTGGACAACATCATTGAGACAGTCAAATAACGTATTGGAAAAACCGCTTCTACAAAAATTAAGTTCGAATCACCTTAATTATAAACCATAATCCTTTGTAACACTTCATTACAGGTATTTTCCAACGTGAGTGTTCTGATTTGTTTAGTAACATTAGAATACAGACAGATCAACGACTGAAGATATGAAACAATCAGAAAAAAAAGAATAGTTATTCAAGCTATAATAAACTCTCCAACAACTGTCGAGGAGAATCTCATAGAAGTATATATCATAGTGCAAACATTAATATCAATTTGTAAGCGAAGCAAAATCATATGACAAAATGTAACCATTTATTGACAAATATGAAATAAAATTATGTTGAAGAATTAGCTGTGAACAATAGATCAATCCATTTGTTTGGCTAAGACCAATCTTTATTCACCTCACTGAAAGTCTATTATGGACTAAAAATGTCTCATGGATACGGATGTCTTAACCTCTTCAAATGGTTTAAACCAACAGACAGTAATACCATAGACAGTCGACATGTACTGGTATGACATCCTGAACCTCTTCTGAAACCCAATTTCATGAATTGCACTGAATCAGAAAGGAAGGAGGGATAACCAAAGATATAACATTTGGCAGTCACTGTATTACCAAACAATCAGTCATAATTACATATAACATCAGCATCGCCTACTAGGTGATTCCATCACTAAGTACATCTGTAAATTGATAGATGCTACTTACACATTTTCGTCGCCAAGTGTAAACTAACACAGAGTCACTTGCTTTGCTGAATACTCTTTCGCTGATAGACAGATAGAAATATAGTCCATAATACAAATGTTGCTAGTTGACAAAAGGTATAATGACTGAGATTTCAGGAAGTAGCTTCCCCGTACCCTTTGTTTGGACTAAACACTCTTTTCTTACCAACTCTAATTCCTGTAACACTTCATTACTTAACATTCTCAAATTACAAATACTGTCATGTAGCAAACGACCACACAGATAATTACTTAAGATTGATCGTAAACATAATGTTCAGATAGGCAGAACACATTCACTCCATTTTATCTTTATTGCAAAGGGACACAGTACAGATTCACAAATTTGGTATAAAATCATGAATCAAAGTTCTAACCCTTGAAAATACTCAGGACAATAAACACTTCTATTTTATTTAAGATGAAACATGACTCTGACATATAACTTTAAAAAGTTTCGATGGTAAAGCGATAGCATCTTATAGATAACGTGAATTTTAAAGTCGAAGTATATTTATAGCTTTGATGGATGCTTTTATTTTCATCTTTGGAAGCAATCAATCAAAACCATAGTTAATAAGATGAACACAATGACATTTACTGAATGATGCTAAAAGTCACACTCCTATTTGTAATAATATAAAGATGATTTAAATAAGAATCTAACTACAGAATCATCACTAAGATTTTTATGCTCTTGAGTTTGAATATTATAATCTACATATCCAACGTAACCTAACTTGTCATTATCTAATGACCTAAAATATTACATCTTTCTTCGTTTCCACCTTAAATAATCTCTAACAGTTTATTTGATAGTTAAATTTATTTTAAATCATTTCATTCAAACAGAGAAGTTTACAAAAATTAAAATCAGAAATGAAAAATTCATCATGATTAGTTTCTTTATGAATATAAATAGCTAGATTCAATTCATTTTGTTAAGGTACATTCATAATGAATGAACCTTCTTTACACTACTATTTATCAGTTTATACTAGATACTCATTTTCTTGTTATTTTTTAAGACTAACATATATATATGCTTCCCTTTAATCAGTATATAATCTTTTGTTTTACTGCGAACGAGATCGGTAACGCAAATATTTACAGATATAGACAAGTAAACTTAATTTTATCTATTCAATTCATTTAAGGACATGTAACTCATTACTAATTAATTTAAAGTATATTGAATAGTTTAATGAATGTCAAACATTTTAAAGTGTATTTTCAATAAAGTTTATGTGATCTAAATTAATGAATTAGTAATAAATGAAAATTATACTTAAATAATATTACATATCATAATCTAATTAAGGTTCTTTGCATCGAATAACTTTTATAAATTTATAAGCCATATTTATTGCCAACTAAATATGCTTAACTAATTGAAATCATGAGTCAATTGAAGCTAAACCATCATGGAAAACCTAGAAGTACTGGAAGGCTGTTTCGTCATAGTATGCGACTCCTCAAAAATGCTCATCCACGATCCCGCACCCCGCGACTCATGATTTAAATCAGTGGAATTTCTAAAATCTCCATAAAATTCCTTCTGATAAATATGCTTAATACTGTTAAATAGAGCTATTAATTTTTAAGTCATAATTGGGATTACATTATTAACATAAATTAGAAAAACAAGTACCAATGTCAAACATTTCATTGGTCAAAAATGTTCTAAATTCATGGCTTCTTACAGATATTTAAAGAAATTTCTACTGAATATTGTATTCCGATTACATTTGTTATGTTATAATTATGTAAAATCAATCAATCATGTAATCCAGTTAAAGGAAGGCAATATGCGAGATTCTGATATTCAAAAGAAATAAAGTCGGAAAATATAAATAGACGAATATATGTTTTGCTGAACTAAACATAATTTCATATTAATAAGTTACTTTTAAAAGACTATCATAGATTTTATTTTTGGAATTGTAATCAGCAACATTTTCATAGTATTGTTTTTGATTGGCCTAGAGACTGTTTATTTGGTATCTCCTAGACACCAAATTATAGTAGCACATGAAAACATTGTATTGTTGTGGTGCGTGTTACTTATATTGATGTAAGTAGTATATAATACGAGTCAGGAATGTAATGTCTGGCAGCAGAAGATGGGGAAGATCAAGAAAGGAACGGCGGGAATAGAAAGCAATTAATATGAAAATGCAATAACAATGAAGTTCGAGACAATTATTGAACGTTTTGCAAATTAAGTATTATAGTATGGTTTTTCTATTTTATCAAGTAACTCTGTAATTTTGTGCTAAATTTAATTCGGTTGTCCTCACCTGTGTTCTCCTTCACTACACCACAAAAGTGTCTGATGAATGTTTTTAGTTCATTTAAATTTTACCTATCAAATTCCTAAATCCAATTACTTTGACATTTTTCGTTAACAAGTAACTTCTACAAATAGCGTATAACACTTTAATACTTGTGTAACATTTTGAATTTTTACCCAAGTGACGGATATTGTATTTCGCATAGAAAACTCTCGATAACTGGTTCCTCTTCATGTTATGTCGGTTATTAGGTGGACAGTTATTTTTTATTATTCAAGCTTCCGACTACCGAATGTTTCTTTTTTGTTTAGAATTCATCTATGATTACTTATGTACTTACGTCAGTTACTCCTCGTGGAGGAGCATTGGCCACCCACAAACACTCTCCATCCAACCCTGTCCTAGGCAATGATTTCCAGTTCTTTCCAGCTGCTATTCATTCTTGTCATGTCTGCTTCCAATTCTCTGCGCTTTATGTTCTTTGACCTTCCTCTTTTCTGTTTTCCTTCATGATTTCAAGTAAGGGCAGTTTGATGATTTCTCTTCATCTGGAAGTAGGTTCGTCTTCTCTCACGGAAGTCTGCTGCTAAAGGTATCTGGCCAACGGACATTCAGTATCTTGTGTAGACAACTGTTTATAAATACTTGTACCTGTTTGATGACGGTTGTGGTAGTTGTCTAATCTTCAGCTCCATACTGTAGAACTGTCTTGACGGTTGTATTGAAGATTGTGACTTTAATGTTGGCTTACAGACAGTTTTTTTTAAAAATTCAATTCAATTCTTCATTTTTAAGAATGTGGCCTCATCTATGATTAGTACAATTTTATTCCTTTTTTTATGTAAAAATGTTATAGGATTACCAATTCTCTTTTAACAATGACGACAAAAATAACAACTACACTACTAATAAATGATTTTAGTGTTATTAAACTTTGATTATTTGATATTGCCCCCCCCCACTTAACTGATCTTTTGATCATTTTATTGTAAAACAATGAACAGAAGAAAATGAGAGTTTATATTCTTCCAAGTATACCACTGTATCATTTTTTTTAATTGTAAACCAACAAAAATTACAATCAAAAATTGAGATTTATTTCATTTAATCCTAATGTATAACTATTTTAAATATATCTATTCAATATTCATATATAAAAGCTTCATATATCCAGTGTAGCTCTTTTGTAACATCATTATAAACTAGTTTTATAAATCATGAACGATTTCTTCTCAAATTTGAAATCGAGAAAATATTGTGAATCATGTGTAACACAACTAAAAATAAAAGTAAATATACAGAAAATATACTGAAATAGGAGAGAAAAAATACATCATTATTAATTGTATCAACCTAATTAAAGAGAATTCATTGAAGATACTTAAAAGTAAAGTAGATTTACTGTATATTATAACTTACAAATGAAGAGTAAAATATCATGATCAACCTAAGAGATGTGAATAGCATTGTTTACTTTATTTATAAATAGTTGTCTATGCAAGATACTCAACATCTATTGACTGGGTCCCATCAGCAACAACCTTATATGAGAGAGAAAAAACTAGCTTTCAGTTAACAAGGAAATTAGGGAAACATGTTGGAAATGGATAAAACATACGTTAAGCAAATCATCAAACTGCGTCACCAGGCAAACCTTTACATGGAATCTTGAAGGGAAGCAAAAAAGTGGAAGGCCAATGATTACATTACGTCGGGAAATGGAAAGAGATATGAAAAAAATGAGTAACAGCTGGAAGGACCTGGAAAGGATTGTTCAGGGCAGAGTTGTATGGAGTGTTGTTGGGCGGCCTATGCCCCTCTACGAGGAGTAACAAGCTTTAGGAAGTAATCAAGTACTTTACTTAACTTATTTTTTTATTAAAACTGTACGCGTGTGTTATAGTCACCAACGACGTTTTTAGTCTAATTTTACAGGTGTATTATGTTTCAACAATTTCAAGGCAATTCAAACATTAAATCATAATGTCAAATGGTAGAAACCTTCAACAGTAATTAAATAATAATGGAAATACAAAATACAATTAAAACTACTGTTCTACTTTAATATCAGTAAACAGCACTTACCAGGCAATAAATCAGTGTCATCTGAATAATGAATTTCATTATTGTTTTACTGTAATATACTGGTCTAATTAAGGGGTGAATCAGTATTGTTTTAGCATAATACAGTAAACATTTTGGGATGAAATAATTCTTTAGGAAGAGATAGTAAACTATACGATCAGTGATATAATCACCGTCATATTTTATATATTGGTAAGTTTGATATCAGTTCTATACTGATTAAATTTCAGAGTATAAAAAGAATGTTGAGATCATTTTCACGTAATGCTATTGTATACCTCTCTGAATGTATTTTCAAGAATTTTTATCAAAGATGATTCCTCTGAGGAGATGGTTTGGAGAAAATATGTGAGATGGTGACAACAGTATTTAATGAAATTAACACTAAGATGTATTAGTGTAAACCGGATTGTTGACATAGTACTACGTAAATCCCTTAAACAGTTCATTCTATGTTTACTGTTTATACTGGACGTTTCGTTTTAGATCATATGGTAATCATGAGTTATATCATTTAAAATTTATCAATGCCTTTTCATTTTGAATCATACATTTATACATTCCTCCTTGGATAAAGAATTAATATGGTTTTTGTTCGTTTACATTCATTTATACTTTCGACACTCCAATACTTTTTATTGTATTCCTTAAGTAATTAAAACTAGATCAAGAATGTTGGAATTATGTAACTACAAATTTCGATAATGCGTAATCATTATCAAATATCATGTAGCGGGTATACCATATTATTTTATAGTCATTAGAGTCAAAACTGAAGTTATAAATTAAAAAGTCTGGATTTCAATTCAGAAACTAAATGTTATTCAGTTTGTTGCAAGACCGAGAAATATCGATTTTATCTCACATATAATTGTAAAGATAAACTGTTAAGGAATGTGATCCAAGATTTAGAAAGTAAATCCATTCAGCATGCTGATTTCAGACTAAAGGCTGCAATTAAAGTAGTCTGTCAATGTTCTTCATAAATGTTTATCATTGATATTTGTTCTAAGAAACTGTTTAATTGTTATTCGATACAATGCAGTGTGACAGATTATATTTTTGAATTTCCTGTGTTGTTCTATTTGACAAAGTATCGAAACTAGCGACGAGTCTTTCTTAAAAAGTAAAACGATGAACATCGTGTAGACATTTACATGAATTGACTGGATATATGAAGAGACTTATTTTCTACAAAATTAAATATAACTATCAATGTGAAGGTTGGACTTGATAATTTAAAATAAATTGAACATTGGATAAAAAGTTATTAATAAACATGGTTTTTTTTATATCTCAATGAGTAGAAAAATCGTGTTTCTGATGTTTCGCAACTAACTGTATGTCATTTCTTTAGAGCAAATAAATAACCAAAGTAAAATTAACTGAATTTTAAATAGTACAAAAGAAACAATGCAGATTCTGTATTAATTATAACTTTTTGTATGAAATACGTTATATTTCTAAGCTTTATTATAAAATCTGAACAAACCAGCTTCCAGATGAAGAGAAAATTAGGAATAGACGATGGAAAAGGATAGGACATACATTACGCAAATAATCAAACTGTATCACGAGGCAAGCCCTAATTTGAAATCTTGAAGGGAAGCGGAAAAGTGGAAGGCCAAAGAACACATTACGTTAGCAAATAGAAGCAGATATGAAAAGGATGAATAACAAATGGAAAAAGCTGGAAAGGATTGCCCAGTACAGGGTTGGATGGAGAATGCTGGTGAGTGGTCTATGTTCCTTCACGAGGAGTAACAGGCGTAAGTAAGTAAGTAACTAATTAATCTATATTAAATCTTTTCTCATCTGCTAGACGAAGTAGTATTACTTAGAAATATTTCAAGAAAGAACGACATGCTATTACTGTAATCTGAACTAGTTAACATGTTGTTAAATGTGCATTATTAACAACTATGAAATATAAGTGATAGGCTTTAAATTTGATGCAGTACTGTGATGAAATAGATTAACTATAATACATTACTACGTTTACTTTATGCATAATACTACACTGCATAGCTGTACTGAAATTTCTTTTAAGGAATGTTCTGCTAATAGGTACTGACATTGCATGAATCCCAGAAATATATCACTGACCTATACATTTATACTATAAATCATTTCATATTACACTAAACAAATCATGAATTTATGTTTAAAAAAATTAGTTTGCCTATTACATACCTGTTATATTCATCACCTATAATACAATGCCATGCTGGTCCATATTTTATATCCAAATTTCTTTTAATATATGCTGTAGTATCTAAACTTCGTTGATTTATACTCCAAAATTTCAAACATATAGAGATTATTTCATCTTGCATTGTTTGATTCATATCAGTATGACAAACATGAGCTTTTTCTTTAGATGATTCTGATAAATCTATACTTGTTTCCATTATACTTTTTTTGTATATGAGTAATATTGTAATGTAATGTAAGCAAATCAATTGTATAATAAAACAATTAGATAAATTTAATGCATTTTATTTATAATTTGATATGTAATTCAACTTTTTAAAAAAGAGAAATCTTCTACTTTTTAAATCATTCATTACAGTATTGAACTTTATTATGATTCAATTTAGATAAGTAATTAATTATAAAGTTTAATTAGTGAATAATCATTAGAAAGATTATTAAGATGATGTAATAAATCAATCATTCTTGATTACATTCTAAACTGATAATGAACTAAAATGAATACATTCATTGATAAGATAAAAGAATAATTCACTTTTATTAATAAAGATATATCCATATAAAGTTATTTGTTTCATTTTATTTAAAGAAGGAATGAATTGAGTGAAGAAATTTCTTCTCAATTAGTTTTACATCATGGCTCTACACTAATATAAATATGTATGATTTACAGTAATGAAATAATACTCATCTAATGGATACAATACGTAATAATTACATAATCACATTTCGATTATAAATCATCATTGAGTAATTGGAAGAAAGAGGATTAATAATAATCAGAGTAATTATTCGAAAATCAAGTTGTTACGTTACATAATATATGAAAAAGAGAAGGGACAGAATAATTTGATGAATGGTTAGTAGAATAGTAGTTATATAGTAATCAAGAGATGATATTCAAAATAAGTAAAATACAAAGTCCAAAAACAAAAACAAGATAGAAGAAGTATGAGAATAATTTATCAATCTTTTGCTAGAAGCGCCCCTATACTGATGACCAAGGTAGCGAAAGTGGTTGTACAAACTTCTTTTGGATGCATAGGTTAGGTTTGTGAACATGGATTGTGATGGTTTAAGCTGTGCGCAAAAGATGCACTCGTAAACAATATGCCATCAAATTTGCCACATCCTTTTACTTCAAATTACTCAATGTAAATTTAAATGTGATTATGTATTTGTTACGTAACGTATTTACTCGATGAGTATTATTTCATTATTGTAAATCATACATATTTACATTAGTGAAGAGCCATGATGTAAAACTAATTGAGAATAAATTTATTCACTCGATTCATTCCTTCTTTAATTACCAAATGTGAACATGTGAATTTTCATTATATTTTTGTTCACATGAATTAAATTAAATTTATCAGTATTACTAACTACTAACTGATCCATTAATGATAATGTAGAAATGAAACTTTTACCAAGAAAATAAAAAAGACAAACCATATTACTTAAATTCAGTCTTTTTTTCTATAATAGGAATTTTTGTGTATGTCATATTGTTTAGAATTAGTTTAAATAACAAGTTAGAGTCTGTACGTTTTAACTATTGAATATCTAACACGAAATATTATTCTGTTGTCATTTCAGGGATATTTTTTAAACATAGAAAAACAAAATATTTTGAATAAGTTTATTAGTTCATTACTTGTTTTGTAAACTTAGAAACATTTACGTATTAGACTGTGATCTGTTGTGTTAATTCTTTTGAAGTCTTAAAATATATACCGTAGGACGCGAATGAACTTAAAAGTTCTTAAGAAGTCCCATCAACATTATACCACTAAAGATCTTTATCAGAATGTGGGTTTTTAAACATTGTGGTAATTTTAATAGTTGAATTCATGGGTCAATTTAAGTTAGACTATCATTAAAAACCTGGAAGCAGCAAACAACTGTTTCATCCCAGTATAGGATTCCACAGCAGTGGTCCAGACGTTAGGCGTTCGTGTGGGAGATTAAAGGTCTCTGGTTCGATTCCTGTGTGCGGGACTGTTGATGTACACTACTAAGGAGATTTTTAATAGGACGAAACGGCCGTCAAGTGCTACCGGGATTTCAATGTAGGTTTAGCCTTGATGGACTCATAAGTTTAACTACTGAAGGCTTGTCATAACAAAATATCAAATATCATTTATCATGATTCAAGTTTTTCTTGTTAATCTTGCTTTAAATTTTTTGATTTACTAATATCGAGATATGCTTCTTAACGTCTGCTTTACTGTATAAAGTCTTCCTTTGCTTCTAATATTGCTGAACACCGACTTTGGAATTTTCAAATTTTTGTGTACTATCTGTTAATAAAATTTATTCCACAATAATATTTTGTCGACTGTTGTGATAAGAATACGCCAAATTTGACTAGAATTTATAGGACTGTTGGTGCAGTGTATGGTAATTCTTTCAACTTTTACTGTGACCATGATAATATAGAGACATTTAATATCTTTCAAACGACAGACAGTTTATGTTCCATCAAATCAAAACCAACTAATGTCTTCATGTCTTTATTTCTGTATGTCTTTTGACCGAACTAGATGTTTCTATATTAAAATTTACTCACAAAAGCAATAAAATTGTGTTCAAAGAGCACACACTAACTGAATAAACGGTTGAAATGTTAGACTTAGAAAAGGTTGAAAAGGCTGGAAACATAATTATCTTAAACCTTACATCATAAAAATACTTCAGTATGTTGGTACGCGACAAATAATTCTGTTTACGTTCAGTACATGCAAAAATTTGATAATATTCATTACTTTCTGTGGTAAAAAACAAAAATTGGCTGGAAGATATAACGGTCTATTTATTTAAGTTCATTAAGTTTGAAGAATTCCAGTGATTAATTAAACGTAATTCATACGTCTGTGTTAACTAAATACCCAAAGACAATTAACTATAAACTGAAAACTAAATTGTGTGTACCGGTCCTAACCGGTGCTTTTCATCTGGTACTTAACTCAGACAGAATCTCAGTCACTTTATGACTAAAATAGAATAAAATTCAACCAACCATCAAAAACGAGATCTTATTAAGGTTTTATAGTATTGCTTTTATTAAATATGCGCGTGAATGCATATGTATATATAATGACCGATGAGAGATGATTCTTATTCAAATTTATACGCTCAAGTACATTTGTAAAAAATTTAACGTTTTTGGTTAAAAAAAATCACTCAAAGTACTTCACCATGATTGTTTCGGTTGTTATCTGCAAATTAAATGTCTTCGAATGTTACTACTAACCAGTAGAATAGTTTTATGTTAGAAAATTTTCTCTTCTAAAAGAAAATATTTGATTAATCAACTGATTTAGTAGATAAATTATAGTTGGTTGACATAGAAATGTTGTAAATATATATCATACATTTATCTCACGACTACTGCATATGTAAATCTTCAAATATGGTACTTTATTATGTTTGCTCCTTAAAACCAAGTAAGTTTACCAAGTATAAACAAAAATACAAAGGGATTTTGTGTATGGAAATAAAGTTAAATAAAACGTCAAGTAAATAAGAATCGGCAATTTAGAATACAATACAAAAATGATGAAATGTAAAATGAGTAATAAGTTTGTCTAGAGGTCAGTCACTTGAATAGAGACCAATGGTTCTGGATTCAGTTCCCTGTTAGGTCATGGATACGCAGTGCTATGGAGAAACCTCCTGGGATGAAACAACATTTTGGATCTTTCTGATTTTCGATAGTTGCAAAACTAATCATTTTGTGACGAAAAATGAAAATGACTGCAAATATCTGTGTGGACACATTACAGGGAATTAATAGTACTTCGATAAAACGAGTCCTCAAAGACACATTTCTAATTGTTTCGACACGTTTGAGAAACTGTTTTCTAAAGGCCGTGACAGGACCTAAATCAACTGAAACTATCTCCCTTGAAATCACTCGTGTCTTCAAAATCATTGTTAGTCATTACTGAATAAATATTACTGGGTCTTAAATGGTTTATCTCTAAAAGCGAAAACTTGATTTGTTGCTGTATTCACCTAATAGCAATAATGAAAAGGCGATATTACGTGAGTCTGTTTTATATTAGAACTATGATATAATTATTACGGGAGATTGAAGTAGAACACATGGACCTTCCTATAAATGTCAGTCCATCAACGATCGAAAAAGTCAAGAAGATCATCAGACAAATCAAGTGTGAGAAAGCAGCAGGACCTGACAATATATTTGCCGAAATACTCAAGTCATACATAGAAGTAACTACAAGAATGATTCACGTTCAAATCAGGAAGATTTTGGAGGAAGAACAAGTGCAGATGGACTGGAGATTAGGAAACCTAACTGAGAAAAAAAGTAAGGAGATTTGAGCAAGTGTGCGAACCACAGAGGAATCACACTACTATCGGTATTAGGAAACGTTTCCAACAGAGTATTGCTGAACCGGATGAAAGATTTAACAGTCGCCCAACTTGGACATCAAAGGGCGTTTGACAGCAAGGGTTGGAGAACCTGATAGAACATTTTTAGACAACGTAATGTGTTTATAAAGATCGTCAGCATCATACGAAATTAATATGACTGACTACAGTGTGTAGTTGTGCACGGAGAACAGCTAACGGGCTCATTCCAAGTGAGGGCCAGTATCAGCAAAGCTGATAACTCTCCCCCTTTCTCTTTCTTCTGGTGATTGAATGAATTATGGAGATTCCCATGATGACATTTGGTATATAAAGAAAAAATTATTCGCGTGAAGAAATTTCTCCGCAATTAGTTTTTCATCATGGCTCTACGCTAATATATATTATTTACAATAATTATATAATACTCATCGAGTGGATATGTTACGTAACAATTACATAATGACATTTAAGTTCTATTCTCTCTCACTAGGTTGAAAATAGTCATCAAGTTGAATTGAATAAAGCTTTCAAGGTTATCTACCGTATCCCATCAAATTGGCCACATGGTTTATGAGTGCGCCTTTTGGACATTGCTGAAGCCATCTCAATCCATGTTCACAAACCTAAGCTTTGCATTCAAAAGAGATTTGTACAACCACTTTCGCTGCCTTGGCCATCGGTATAGGATTTACCTCAATGTAACTATTTTTCATAATTCTCCCATTTAGTTTTTCTCCTTTTTTTAAATTTTTGTAATTTTGCTTTCGTTGTTTTTGAACTTTATAATTTTTAAACATTCATCTCTTGATTCCTACGTAACTACTATCCTATTGACCATCCATTAAAAATTCTATCCCTTCTCTCTTTTTCATATATTACGCAACGTAGCAACTTCTTAATTTAATAATTAATTTGAATGTTAACAATCCTTTTTCTTCTAATTACTCAATGTTAATTTAAATGTCATTATGTAATTGTTACGTAACATATCCACTCGATGAGATTATTTCATTGTCGTAAATTATTCATACATAAATTCATGAAGATCCTGACATCTGAGGGGAAACACGGAATAAAACGGACAGGTTGTATGTAACTAGACAACATAGACTTCACAGATAACTTAACTTTGTTATCCAACACACACGAACAAATGCACTTGAAAGCAACTAGCCTGTGAAGCAGTAGGCCTCAACATGCACAAAAGTAGAACCAATATCCTCAAATACAACATGTAGAAAACCCAGTCACACTTTATGGACAAGTTCTGAAAGAGGTGGGAACTTTCACTTACATGGGCTGCATGATCGATGACCGAGTAAGATCTGATGCAGATGAAGAACATACGGAACTCAAAAAAACTGTCTATAAGCCAATATCAAAGTCACAGTCGTCAATACAACTGTCAAGACAATTCTACCAGACACGGAGAACTGCCACAACCATAATGGAAATGGTACAAATATTTATGAACAATTGTCTACAGAAGATACTGAATATCCGTTGGCCGGATATCATCAGCAACAGCGTTTATTTTCGCATCATATTATTTTGCTACTAAAACGTTTAGATAATGCAATATTTTTTCATCAGAAAACTTTTCTTAATAATTTAATAATGCATTGGTAATTCGTTAAAAAAAACTTCTATAGTTGATCCCCTTCTTATTCTTAACATAAAAGAATGTTTCAGTCAAGCAAATAATGAATGATGTGAGACCTCGGTCTTACAGCTACCATTCAACTGGTGTTTCAAAGACAGGAAATTAATTTATTTATTCAGCAAATTGTATCATTTCTTTCCCGAATCCACAATACATTTTGTCACTCACACGACTATTCATTACTGAATATCTTCCTAGAAATTACCATCATTCAACTGATCATAATTACGTAGCTTGTGTTGAATTTGTGTTTGTTAGTGAATTTTTGAAAAGGTTTGCATCAAAGAATGTCTGGTGCCACTATGTTTTAAAATACTAAAAATGCATTTGGCACAAATCAAGACAACACGTATTGCTTTCAGCGATACCACATGGCTAATGTTATGTCTGTGTTGTATGTTGAACGATATCACGTGCCTAAATCGCCATTCACGATAGCCGGTAATGATTTTTCTATCTTGCAAATGATGTTTTTAACTATAATCTACAATTCTTACACTTAAGCACTGATGCGTTCTGGATGTCACAAATATACTTGAGCTAGCGTAAACTGAACATTTATTGGTCGTCTGTCCGCAACCCCTTCTTAATCCCCAGCCGTGAGCCCGAAGAGACGTTTTTAGACAGTCGTCTATTAGCATTATGTATCTACCGCCCAGCCATCCAGCATATTTCTCAAACACTCAGCATATATCCAACACTTATCAGACCAAAAACCACACTGATTAATAAATCATACTTTGAACACAATCAATCAATAAGTACCAGAGAGCGATGTGAATAGTGCATAGTTAATTATAAATAGTTACGAAGTAGTAAAACGCAAAACCACAGTTAATAGGTTTACTGGAAAATTACAATAAGAATAATTCAAAAATACAATAATACAGTTATTTAGTAGTTATGCAGTGAGATTATGAATCATAATAATAACCCGTAAGATATTTTCAAAGGTTTTTACTTTTGCAACGTTCCTTGTTTTACAACAGCTACTATCGATAAAGCATGTTAAAGAGAAGCTTAGAATTTAATGTTTTACCATCATCAAGCGCCTTAGAAAACATCGTTCTTTGTAGTTTGAAAATGGTTAGATTTATTCAATACGCAACCCATTCCTAATAAGCTTAGGCCATAGTAACCATGTAATGGAATTGAAAACAGTATAGTACGCTTAAATGTGTCACTGCATTGTAATTTTGAAAACTTTTCTGACTCACAGACTAAGTGATTTAGGCCGTAAATGTGACTTTATTGCACATTTGTTTCACTTTTTTAATTTTTATTAACATGAATATTATTAAACATTGCTTTTCAACGAAAACTAGGCAGTATTGCTGAATTTCGCTGTAGTAATCGTCAACAGAAAGGTTTACATAATATTTGTCCATATATGAGGTGTAATCGTTGAAGTATCCAGTGGGTTTTAGCTTTTTTGATTTTAAACTAATTTCGATTTAATGAAAACTATTTACAATGAAAATCAAGCAAAATCTAACTTATAAGTTCGATTTCGAATAAAAATTCAGCTTATTTTTTCAAAGTGTTTATTTCAGTGATGTTCTGCGTTAAACATATTTTGATTAAAGAGTTCTTAGTCTTCTTTTTCTTTCATCAAATATCCAGAACTGCCTAGTAAATCTTCCATAGTTTCAATAGTTTTTAGTCATCATTCCAACTTTATTTCAACATTGTCAGTCATTATAAAGTCATCATATCAATATATCTAAATCAAATGTTCTATCGAGGATATTTTTGTACCATTCAAATACTTTGCACATATTCATTTTATTTATAATCGGCAAATAATTCTTTTTTATGATAACCTATGCCTGTTAGTATTCTTTCTCCATCCCAATACGTCTTAACAAACTAAGCAATCACTTCTTGAATAACTCTTTGAGTTAAACACTGTTGGATGCCAACTCAGTGGTCTAGAGGTTAAGCGTTTAGGCACGAGACTAATAGGTCCTGAGTTCAAATTTCGTGAGGCCTGATCGTGAATTCGCGCTGCTAAAGATTCTCATGCTAAGACAAAGCGGCCATTAAGTAATTCCAGATTTTCCATAATGGTCTCGCTTCAAATGACTAAAACAAGTGTCATGATACAATGTTATTCTCCCAAATATTCTTTATCGTTCAGTGTGTATATTTTTATCAATTCCATCTGGAAAAACATATCATTTCTCATATGATCGAAATTATTTATTTATTTATTTCAACACATAGATATTGGTACAAAGAGGCACCAAATACATATGCGCCACACAAATCTTATTCGATATGTGTGAGGGCTGTGATACTGCCCGGGTGCCCAAACCAAAGCATTTAAATATAATAATTAACATTAAAATCAGTTTTAATATGTGAAATAAATAGGCAATAAATAAAAACACTCAATATATTAAAGAACAATGATATATTCCTTCTTTTTTTTCAATTACCAACATAATATAATGCAATCAATGATGACAAATATAAGTAAAGTCAAGTACACTGATTAGATGCATAAATTTCGATTGTTCAATATAATTATCTTCATAAGTTCTTTTATAAATTATTCTTTTATCCAGATTTAAATAGAAGGAATGCTCGATCATCCAAATAGAAATATATAAAATTATGTGTTTCATGTGTTACATAACTTTATGAATAAATGAAAGAGAAATAGATAGAAAAAAATGTATATTTAATTATTGAAAATTGAAAGAAATAGTTCTTAATATATCGATTTCTAAACCAGATTTATCATGCATTAAGATTAGTAAATGATTCCCATTCAATTCAATTGATGAACTCATAGATACAAAGAAGTTGAACCAAAACGATTATGTATAGGTTAGTTTGATCGATAGTTTTTGAATAGTACGTTTTGAGAATTTGTATTAATGAAATTACAAATTGTATAAACAAAGATGAATGGTGGTTTGTAGTGGAATCAAAAATGTGAATTTCATCCTAATTTGTACTCGTCAGCTAGATGTACCTACAGTTGATCTACACTCTGGGACTTAAATCCCAGTACTGTTCACTTTATACACTATCATATTATCCACTTGATTACTGACTCTTAATAACCAATTACTTGTACAAATAAACAATACAGAATGGAAATTACAGTTTAACGTTCAATATTATCAATGAAGTTTGCACTTTGAATTGTAGAATTATGACATTTTATACATGTACATGTATAGACCTATACATAAATGTCTTGTAATTTCTTAATCTATAAATAGTATTGAATTGATATTATGTAACAAATGATAGATACCTTGATAATCATGATACATATATAAAATATGATTTATTCATTGATTAATAATTAAACTTACCTTCCAAAATTTCGTCCAACAATACAATGCCATGTAGGATTATATTTACGATCAAATTCTTTTTTAATATTAGCAGCTATATCTTTTTCTAAATCATGTTTATCTAATGCACCAGCAGCTATATGTATTGCATCCTCTTGCATTTCATTACTCATATCAGCATTTTTAATTACAGCTTTACGTTCACTCATATTGTAATAATAATAATAATAAGTTTAATTGAATTCAATTACAATTATTATTATTATTATAATATAATTAATAGAAATTTGTACAATTTTTATAGTATTTATTTTATATTGTGTTAAATTAGGGTATTCATAATTTCTTATTTCACTTTAGTAGCATAACTTCACATGAATAAACTATTATGATTTAATGAATTAAATTGTTCATATACATGTATATATATTTATATATATACATATCTAATATGATATACACAACATTTAAATGTGATTAGTTTAGAGTTAAATAATTTACTTAGGATAGTGATAAGATTGATTAATTAATTAAATGAACTATTAGACAATGTCAATGAATTAATTTATTAAATTACAAATATGTTCATTTGTAAACATGTGGAAAAGTCTATTTAAATAATAATGATGATAATGATAATCAGTCAGTCAGTCAGTCAGTAACAACGTAGAACTTCTTACGTACTTACATCAGTGCGAGTTGCCATACCACATTAGCACAGAAATGTAGTTGTCGATTCAAATCCTGTGGTGGTAGAGGTAGAAAAAGTAAAAGCAGTAATCGGAAAGATTAGGCTTTGAAGATGTTATTCAAGGAGTATAATACAGTGAAATAAATTTGAGAAGAGAAAAAAAAGAGGCAAGAAGGAATCAGGAGATTAGAATTTGTGAGAACACAAAGAGTGTATGCACCTGCACCATCGCAAACGATTTTGAGCCATGTCATTGAGGATCTCTAACCATTGGTTGCTATCTTGATAATAATAATAATAATAATAATAATAATAAATTGAACGGTTCTAAGATGGATATGTTTGTGAATTGCTAACTTACATGAAAGCAATCAATATTTGAAAAAAATTAATTGTTTCTTAGTTCAATTATTCTAAGATGAATTAAATGAATAAACCGTAGTGGAATATTAGTGATGTTTCTGAATTTAGATAATAATCATAGAAGAACGAGTAAAATTTTATGACGGTTGAATATATATATTGGTGAGACTGATCTCATATAGCGGGCATATTATTAACACTTCAGTGAATGTGTATTATGTTTGTAACAATGCTTATCTGTTTCTTATAACAGAGATGTAAGATTCATTACTACTGAGCGATTTGAAACGCAAAGACATCTTCGAAAAGAATTCTCACTAGATTTTTTTTAAATAATACTTCTTGATGTAAGTATGTCCTAAACTCTATCAACTTATAAATGTAATAACTTCAAGTTTCATTGTATTGAATTGGATCAGTCAACAAAAAGTAGTTTATTTAGTATCTTAAAGAAACAGGTTAGATTTACTTTAAGACTCAGCTTCTACAATGGCATGAAGTCTTTGTTAAATGAATTTGTGATTTAAAATGAAATGATTCAAATGGAAACGGATTGTAAAGAACCGTTAAACAGGTTTCGAAGTAAGTTTATACCTGGTGAAAACACTACTGAGAATTAAGGTGGAGTATTCTAGGAGGAATCGGACAAATACTTTATACATTGAATCACAAACGCTATTTTCATAAAAGATGTGAGTATGCAAGTGAAAAGACTTTGAGAACTCGTATTTTTTGTTGAAATTTGTTCTACGAAATACATATTGTAGTGATATCTGAGTCCACTGAATGAAAATTAGGTAGGACCTTATCATTCATATCGGAACTATCTACGTCTAGCAGCGCTAAGTTAGAAAACCCATTTTGAGCTTCTTAATTAGTCTTTATCAGGCCTCATATAGATACAGCTTTTAAATCGTTTAGTTCATGAACTGATTATTAGTAAACTACTTTAAGATCACTTGCATATTGAAAATGTTTTTCCGAGCTGAAGCAGTTATAGATTTTACCTAAATAAGCTTGACAAATCAAATTAGAAGGGTTATTTCACGGTTTCTCTAATTTAGTGTAATTAATTAAACCCAAGCCCATCTACTCCATGACTCCTTGAAATCTTAATCGAGTTTGTGGATTCAGTAATTTGAAGATAAGTGAAAGAAATAGAACATATAGTGTTACTAGTCGTATGTGTTACTTATAAGAAAAAGATTTCAATTGATTCGTAAAAAAATACTGAAAATGTTAGCGGTGGTTTTAAATTTAAATATTTAGTTCATTTATTTCAAATTCATATGATTAAGTGTCATATGTTAATTCGCTTTCTACGGTACTATAATTTGCTTTGTTTTAAATAACTTACTTTCCCGTAATAAAAATTGACTTGAATTTCTTCATATATGTGTGTCACTATCTCAATTTAATTCTAAACTTTGTTTCTTTAATGTTTATTAATACTTCGTCTATGTTCAAATATGAAATCTACATTTCAATAAGCTTCTTTTTCAGTAAGACTTCAAACGGTGACTTTCATTTAAAAACTATAAATGTAGAATTTAATGCTATGGTATAAAGTCTGCATTAATGCTAACTAGCAAATTAAGTAAACATCTAAACGTTTATATGAAAGGCAGCTATTGTAGTGGTTTCGAATGACTGATGGATCATTAATTTTAACTTAATGAACCTATTATAATAACATATTTATTCTTATATGGATTTGTTTTTTAAGCGTAATATCGGTATGAAATTTCACTGAAATATATAATTTGTAATTGTTTGTATAATTCCGTTGCTAATATTTTAATTCAATTACAACCAGTATTAATTGACATATTTGCACTCTGTGGCTTTACACAAATATATATGAGATTTGTAGCTAAGGAATAATACTTGTCAAGTAGTTGGGTTACGTATTAATTAAATGATATTGTATTGTTTACATAATAATACTGAGTAATTGAGAGAAAGAGGTCTATAATAATCAAAGAAATTATTCAGAGAATCAAAACGTTGTTACACCGGATAATGCATTAAGAGAACCAACAAAATATTATCATGAAAGGTCAGTAATATAGTAGTTACGTAAGAATCAATAGACGAATACTAAGAATTTGTAAAAATGTAATTAGAAGAAATTATGATATTATCAGTATTGTTTTGTGGTGATAGTTGATTTTTCACCGAGATCATGAACTGACCAATGTTATGTCACCATTGAAATCATGGAAACACTGAACTTCTGCCTCGTCCTAGTAGAGTGCTTTTCAGCAATGTGTATCTACAATCTTGTTCGCAGGACCCGAACCCAGGACCTTCCGTTTCTGGCGAGTGCATAATCTCAAAACTACTGAGCCATGATCCCACAGTGTGAGTGTATTACTTTAATTAGTTGACGATATTTGGCGACGATCTTCTATTGTCTGCCTGACACAAGACACAGTTGAAGTCTCTCATATCTAATTAATACAGTACCATGGAAATGAGCGTATTGTTCTACTGTAGGCTTTCTATGTGTTCGTCTTTTTAGTATTCCATCTACTTTGTTTGTTCGTTGGACATCAGAAACAATGTAATAGTTCTCTGTCCCTCCTCAAGTGTAAAACTAAAAGATGGGTTAACCTTATTAAATATGTTAAGAAGAAGTGCGCGTCTTAGATTACACTACCAAACCTATTCATCACCACATGAAATCTTTGAGAATTAATTGCTCTATCAAAGTCATTCATACAATTTTCATGCATGCCAAAAGAACATGATCAATTACAGACTTAAGCATCAATAGAAAGATCCAAACAACTAACATCTATTTGAATTATATATAGTAATACTGATATTCACCTATTAAAATATTTCTCTTATATTCAATGTTAACATTGATTGTGGCGTCAGTAACAATATTTTCTATTTTGTTTTCATGCTTATGTAAACTATGCTAAATCTTAAGAATTATATTTTACTAAATGTTTTTCATATTTCATTCTTATTGATTACAACTTTATATACACGAATTAGAGAAACATTCTTAACATTGATATTATATAACTCAAGTTTCATGAATGAAATTAATGATGACAAGTTCTGTATGAAATTAATCATAATTTACATACAATAAAATTTCATTTCATTTCTATTTTGAAATTCTTGTTTAGTAGCTTGGCTTCATTTTATCGACATATCAATAACAATGTATGTAGTGTGTTTAACCATTCATCTCTAAATACATTAGGTCGATATTAATAGTGGGTGGTTTAACATATATGTATAATATATATACATGTGTGTGTGTATGTGTACCACTATCTTATTGTTGTTTTGCTATTTTTAAAAAAAAATGTTTGCCAGTTGTTTACCGACTTGCAAATACTTTTGACTAACTGTAAATGCAAACACCAATATATTGTATGTATTCTGTGTAAATGGTTTGTGAAATAATTCAAAAATTCTTGTTTTGTTATTATTGACACTGTAATATCGTACAGTTAAACAAAATAAAAAGTTTTTGTATTCTTTGTTATTGAAAATTTAACTTTTAGTCTGGGTTATGCATACAGGAGGTCAGTCACGGCCCGGATAATCCAGTGGTAATGTTTCTGACTGTTGAGCTGGGTGATACGGGAGCATGAGTTCCGTCAGGATTATAGGTACAACTTGCTGACGAGTCTCGAATAGCATGAAATCCAGGTCCAGGGTTTTCTGTCAACTATATGTAGCAACCATATTATCTCAGCATAGTGCATGTACTGTCGAGTTATCTAGACTAATAGCCATATTGCAACTTGCTCGATAGGAATCGATCTGAATTTAGAAGGACCTGACATACATGACATTGATCACTACCCAGTGATCAATCAACTGTAAAGAATAAGCTAAAAATGTCATAGTTGGTAAATATTTAAATGTTAATCATTCAAACATAAGAAAATATAATATCAAATTATGTGTTAGATCGAAGACAACTTAGCATTTTTTAATGTAGTAATTAATTTATTCGTATTACAGTGACACATAGAAATCTACTCTGAAGTTTAAGAGATCAGTTTTACCTGTTATGAACTGATGAATCATGGATCGATTTCAAAGCTAACAACTAGTGGCACTTATTCCGTGAAATCCTCTGACAAATATAACTTGGTTTTTGTAAAACAAAATTACAAAATCCATATTTTTCATCGCATGCACATGAACAAATGCAGATAAAGACAACCTGTGTAGCAGTAGTCTCTGCATCAATAGGCCTCAACCAAGGTCCTCAAATACAACACGGAGAACAGCGATCCAAACACTCTTGATGGCGAAACTCTGAAAGATGTAGAATCTTTCACATACCTGAAAAGTATCATCGATAAACA